CTATTGAACGCAACAGTGGGTATTGGAAAACTTTTGTGGTGAGTTTCAATGAACATTTATTGCTTCTTGTTTCTACCTTTTATTTTTCTTAATCTAATTGCTTCTTTTGAAATTAGTTCTGTGTATTGCTTTCATATAACTGTCTCTCAGTTATATTCACTTGAGTTATCTCCTAATGACGTACTTATGCGGCAGCATAGAAATGAATCGAGGGAGAACGTTTACGATTCTACCCCTTTTCACTTTAATGCTGCTTTGAAGATGAATTCACAGCTTTTCCGCTGATGCCCATTATTTTGCCTCTTAAATTTGCAACAGTAGTTGTCGCCTCACCTTCTCGCCGTTTTATATTCAAATGCGCTATTTACTAACTCTTTTACTTCAACAAATTGATTCACTGACCAATTAATATGGAATGGAATTCAACAATATGGAATGTTTCAGCGATAAATCTTCGTTTCACATGTGCCTGTGCTCCGAATTCGCAATCTACTTCACTGTTTATTCAATCTAGAAGTCTATCAATGGTGGCTCGAAACAGTCCTTCTCACAGCCCAGTGGACCAGCTTAGGGTTGAATAGCGGGAGAACGTGTACGATTCTACCCCTTTTCACTTTGATGCTGGTATGGGCAAGAGGTCCTTTCTGGCTAACTTCTCAGTAATGTCTTCTTCATTCTATTTGTCTCTCCTATTCTCTCTTTTGCTTCTAAAGTTACTTTATGTAATTCAATCCGAGGCTCAAATCCAAGTTAAAGAAGTACAAGAAAAAAGTTGGACATCGACCTTCCCTTATGAAAGCTGAAGAAGAAGAAGCTAGAAGTTGACGATATGGTAAGAACCTTTGTCCTAATCACCTCTTTCTTTGATTTCACAATGGCTACTTCGTTGTGGGATCAGAGCCTACCGTACCTCCAATCCGATTTCAACACTACCATGTGAGAAGTCACACTTGCCAGTTAGAGGCCTTCTACTGCCGTTGATCTGACGCTTCGGCTATTCCGATCTCATTAATTATTAGTTACTCTCTAGTTATTTGTCATTTCTTTTTTCATGTCGTGAATGCTTTATGCGTTTATTTGAGTTCCTTTAGAAAACTATCGTGAATATGGAGTCCAAACGATGTGACTGTTCTATTTGTGGTAAAAGTATGAGCAAACATAGTATACTGGAGCATCTACGCTCTGTACACAATCTTTCACCCACGTCTGCTAAGCAAATCATGGCACAGTCCAAGAAGGAGGAATTGGAGAGCGAAGGGAAGCAGACTCACACCTGCAACGAATGCGGAAGAATTTTCTCATCCAAAAGGGGCCTCCAGATCCATCAGAGTTCTAAGCATTCTACCGTATCGGGGTCTGCCATGGTCGAGGAGGAAGAGGGGCCCGATGTATCGCCACAGTGCTGCCTTTGCGAAGAAGTTTTCAAAACCCATGAAGAACTAAGTCAGCACTGTGGAATTGATCATCTGAATGACGGGGCCATGGGAAGACCGCAAGACTACGTTGTTCACAATGTATCCTTCCAGAGCTCGGAGGACTTTGAAGTAAGTACTATGTAAGATGCAAATTCTCAATAGAAGAAGTACATTTAGGAATGGATGAAAAGAATGTGCAACCTGAACTGTACTTCATTTTTCCGCAGATCAAGCAGAAAAGGCGGAAAGGACTTGACAATGCGGTCTGACCATTACAGCTTGTTAACCTCTTTATACGTTTTCCTGATTGATAATTATATAGGTGTAACCGATGTGGCGAAGGTGCTTCGCAAGGAGAGCGTCGTATACGCGCTAGCATAAAAGTGCATTTGTACTGCTCAGCCTTTGCAAATGTGCACTTTAAAGAAAATGGCACAGTGAGTGTAGTAGCCTGCTTCGGCCACATAGGGCACGATCTCGATCCTGCCCTGTTACGGTGGACAGACGAACAGTTAGAGTATTTGAAACACATGATCCAAGGTAGATGGCGCTAGTATGATGTATCACAAACGTATTCAATCACGATTGCACATTCCAGAATTTTCCACTGATTGCATTATACAAAAAATGAGAAAGGATTACGAGTCCAAGGAATGTAAGCTCTACTTCGTTACGAAGAAGGACCTCTGGCATGTTATGACAAAGCACAAGCTTACACCAGGATTACGTGACAGAGATGATATAACTTCACTTGTATTGAGAGAGCAAGAACGAAACCCAAGTGACGGAATACGTTTTTTCAAGAAGCAGGACGAACCGAGTGGAAAGGGTTTTGTTCTTGGTTAGTCTTGTCACGATGATAAACGAATTGCGTTATTGGAAGGGCCTCATTACAGTGATCATCACACCGCGCCAGCAAAGATGGCTGGACCAATTTGCGAGTAAGGGAATTGCGGTTGATGACACCCATAATGTGACGAAGTATGCATTGAAGCTCGCAACAGTTATGGTGGTTGACGATCACGACCGTGGACTTCCTGCAGGTATCTAAGATTGTATTGCATTTCGCTGTGAGTAATCATCCGAATTTTAGCATTTTTGTTGTCGGGTGAGATGACATCGAAGGAAGTGAAAATTCTTTTTGATGAAATAAAGAAAATCGTCCCAAATTTTACTCCAAAATCACTAGTCTCCGATGAAGCCCTCGCGTTCTACAATGGCTTCAAATCTTCCTTCCCAGATCGGGAGGTAGATCACTTCTTGTGTAGATTCCATATTCTTCAATCTTGGAAACGAAAGACCAAGGAGTATGTGAAGGTAAAATTGTAGTCTTTAGAACGCCGCATATTCCTAATCAGGACTTTTAGCCAGAGCTTCAAAGAGGCATCATTGGAGCCTTTAGGAACCTACTAAGAATCAGCGACGAGGCGACGTTCCACGCAAGGCTTGGGGAGGTACTCACACACCTACGTCTGAAGAACTGCTCGCGTCTCATTCAGTACCTTCAACGGGAGTATCTCGGTAACAGAAGTCGCTTCCCTCTCACCCTCTGATACGACTCTTTTCATTTCAAGGGGAAGAGAAAATAAAGAAGTGGGCAGCATTTCGCCGACAAGGTGTTGTGATGAGCACTTCTATGTACACGGAAAGATGGCATCTACGACTGAAGCAAGAGAAGTTGAAGAGGAAAGCGAATTCAAGAGTCGATTACGTGGTGGACACACTGATAAAGGCTGTGGAAGAACTGGCGACGGACTTTGAAATAAGGGTAAATAATCGGTTGATATCGGGTAAATGAAGGCAATTAGTCCATTACAGGATCGCAGACAACTTGTTTCGTCATACCGGATGAGAGAGAACAACATACAACACAAGCTCGCCGTCAGGTTTTACAAGGAGAATACTGATAAAATTCACAAAGTAGGGGACTTGGCGTGGAATGTGGACAGCGCAACATCGGAGACAGTGTATCGCGTCGAATTCGATGGGCACTGCGTGTGTTCTCCCCAGGCTAGTGGTTACAACTCGCACTTCATGAAATATACTGGTTTATTCATTAACCATTACAAATATATTTCAGACGAACACCCACTGTTCCCGATGTCACGTGTGTCCGTACTCCTTTACTTGTTCTTGCCTAAGTGGAGCGCTCGCAGGAGTAGCATGTCTGCACGGTCACGCAGTGAAGTTTTACGGTGCGTCATTGTAATTACAGTTGCCAGTTAATATAATGACTTCTTTGCTTTCAGGACAGGAAGGAATTGTGCAAGAAGTACGGGAAGAAATTGTGCAGGAAAGACAGGAAGAAATTTTGCGAGAGTCAACTTTCATTGAGCTGCAACCGGAACCGCGAGAAGTTGTAATGGTTCACTCAGAAAGGGATATAGGATCTATCCGTGATATACGTGGAGAACTGCATGCGCTTCGTGACGATATAGCAAAGGTCACTTTACTTAGCAATATCTAATTCGTTAATGTAGATATTCTTTTTCAGAGCTATACCGTGATCCATGCCAAGGTAAATGCTCTGGTTAGGCAAGAAGATGAGGACGCCTTAGGCACTCTAAAAGCACTCGCTGAAAGATTGCGAGTGATTGCCGGCGACATAGATGTTCCCCTTGAAGGTGCTGGTATTATTTCTAGTCCTGACGTACCTGCCCACGGACAACCGAAAATGCAAAGATCCGAGCTTTATTCGGTACGTTGTGCAAATTAAATGGATATATTAATATCATCGGCTTGGATACTTCTTATTACATAATTACAGAGAGCTCGAATTCGAAAAGAAATGCGGAGGAAAACGCAATCCGTGGAGGATATAAGAGTGGATCCAGAAGAAATTTTATTCTGTTCGATTTGTTTCGAAGAGGACCCCGCTCTTCCAGAAGACATGGACCCGGAGGAGCCAGATGCCAGAGAAACACAGTGGATGCGATGCACGCAATGCCGCGTTTGGGCCCACGCAGTGTGTGCGCGAGGTGTGCAACAGCGAAACTGTAGGGCTTGCAAGAAGGGAATGTACAGTATCTATGTTTAGGATGGGTCATTAAGTCTAATGTGATGCAATTAAGGGTAAAGATGTAGGAGATACAAAAAAATTACCGCTGAAATTTTGCACATTGTATAAATGATGACGGTGTTGTAATTGTAAATAGTGAATGAATAAAATTGTTCAATAGAAGAATTTGTGTGAAGAAAACATAAATCGTAAACAGTGCAGACGCGAGGAGAACCTCATTGCTTGGTTGAGAGGCAGAGTGATGGACATTACCGGTAATGCATTGAATTCTCCTCCAAAGCAGCACAAAAATGAAAAGGGGTAGAATCATATAAGTCCTCCCTCAATTCAGTCTTATGCTGCCGCATCAAGAGGCATTTAGGAGAGAATTCAAGGGAGAAAATAGAAGAAAGTAGCGATTATTTACCAATTCAACGTCATTTTAATAAAATGCAATAAGAAGTGAACAGAACAAATCATCACGAAAAAATTTAGCTGATACAGAATGAAGGAGTTTTGTTACCAGATCTAGTAAGGGCCACTCTATTTAGAGAGTCCAAATGGGCGGGACCTATCCCTGGGTGTCGAGGTAACCCCTGGGTATCATCCTTGCCAAAGGCGCGCATAACCCGAGGATGGGGCATCTCCTTCATATGTGCGAAGGCCGTGACCCGCTATACACAACAAAGTAACATGAAAGCAATACACAGAACGAACTTCAAATGAAGCAATTAGATTTAGAAAAACAAAAGGTGGAAATAAGAAGCAATAAATGTTCACTGAAACTCACCACAAAAGTTTTCCAATACCCACTGTTGCGTTCAATAGTAATAACAGCATGAGACTTACGAGCAGCGTGGAAAGCAAAAGCACTAATAGATAAGACGAGTCAAAATAGTCAAAAATGACATTTCCTCTTGAAACGTGAACATATGAAGCGCTTGAAGAAGAAACAAAATACCTATACAATGCCTTAAATGAGACAAATAACAAAAAAAGCACTAACCAAAAAAATCGGAATAAAATTAGCAAGATCGACCAGCATCCAAGCAGAACACGAGCTCCAAGAGCCAGTGTTTGAACATACAGCAAGTAGAATAGAATATCAGCAGAATAAATAAAATGCGAAGATGTGTAGGCCGCGTTTACCGCTGGCATATCCGGTAGAAGGGCAGCAGAGTAGAGTTCAGCGCAGAATTTTGCAGAACAGAATAGCCAATAGACCAGAATCATAGCAGTGTAGGGTAAAAATTAGAAGAATGAGAGGGAAGTTGCACTAATAGGCGTTTGAACATAGCTGATACTGCTCCCGCAACGAATTGCCTGATTTTCAGTTAGACAGTTGTCGCGAAAAGTTGACAAATGTCGCGGACAACTCGCCCGGCGTTTTTTCGTGTTGTAGATTTAGCTGCGAGTTTTGTTACGATATCTTTTGTACTAAACTCATCCGACCGCCAATGATCTGGGATTCCCAATTAATGATAAATCCGTAGGGAAGAAAAGTTCGCTGATAACCAAATCTATCATGTGCGACTTTACCACTCGACAACATTTGTTGGTACCATTCAAGACTTGAATTGTCAGTCAGTTAAGCCGTCATCGGGACATGTCTTTGAGATGAATTTGATGTCTTGATTTGATTTGATATGATGTCTTTTTTCTTCAAAAAAAAAAACCTATAAGATATGCTACGACGACATAATCTATTCGAGCTCTGTTTCAGTTTCATACTCTCACTGAGCTAAACGCGGCTACAAACTCCGAAAACGGGAAAAATTCCTTCAATTCAACATTTCTCGGGATAGGGTGTTTGACACAAAGAGGAAAACCCGGCGTTAGCTGGGCGATCCGACTGGTAACACAATAATATAGTAAGTGTGGTCGTTCCCGCTAGTAAAGCACAGAACATTAGTAGTAAATACTTCATGAGACAGATAATAACTTAAGTCTTGACCATGTGTTACAGGGAGTAGTGCGGACCCACCTATCTCAGGTCCGCCTGATCTCGCACCAAGGAGGGGCGTGGGTTCAGTGAGGGAGTCGTCTCAGACGGTGAGACGACGATATAGTTATAGTGGATCGTCGCCGTAGACGACGATAATAGTTTCTATATTGGAAATGTTCTGATATGTTGTAAATTCTACTTGGTTTCACTCGTCATCTCGGAATTCCACTTTTTTTGCTCGTGATAAGTGCTCTCGCATGTTAATAAATAAATAAATAGTGGTATGATCAGCAGCTATATGAAAAGCCACTGCAAGGTTACAGCGCTCTAATGGTAAATTAATTCAGACATGCGCGTGCGGGAAAATTATTCAAGTCGCACAACCTTCCCATGAGTAAACGCGAAAACCCTTTTCTACTCGTTTATTAATATCTCGAATATAGGTTTAGTGAGCTGTATGTCCCTTTTGTTGTACTATAGCTTGTTGCATCTTCAATGTCGAGTTTCCTGATTACTTTAATGCGCATTTAAAAAAGCAATTCCAGCACGGACCTTGTTCAGTACTGGGAGCCGCCTTTTTCGAAGTTTGTTGCAGGATAATGTGATATACGACTACGACCGCTTCATTGATTGTATCCCTGTGGTCAAGAAATGTCAGAGGTATTATTCAGTTGGTTTTGCATGGTTAAATTTGCCTGCCGCGATAATAGTATAACTTAAGGGTATGCTCTATATCGTAAAGCAAGTTAGATTGTTAGCAACCAAGTTATGATTATACGGTGATGAGAATCATAAAGTGATAGTGCTGTTTGAACATGTACCTGTGAATATTAGCAGGCAAGTTCTGCTTGATAGCTTCCTAATTTTACCCCTCGACAATGTGATTCTTACAAGTTGTTCATTGTAATACCAAGGCCCCATGCTTCTTTAACGGGATTTTGGCACATCAGCGTTTTTACGTATACTTGAAAATGCGAATGATAACTTAATTGTCTTCTTACACCACCAGTACACGTATCTAACGAAAACGATAAAGTAGAGAAGTATCCATGTCTCTTGAATGCCCTTAGAAGATAATGCCATCCGAGTAACACTTTTTCATTGGCATTTTTCTGTTGGTAAGGAAGGCTTTCACTATTAAAGAACAACAAAGCTTCTCGTTTCAACGAATAAGTGAAGATTTAGTTGGAGTGAGGGGGATGCTTTCCTCGTCTTTCAACACTACAGCGCAGAGGGAAGGGGTAGTCGATTTTGTAGGCTCAGACTAGTGTAGGAAAGTTTCTAAGCTGAAGGAATTCAGATTATCACTCAAGTCCAGAGGGAGCAGCAGAGATGTGGATGAGGTGATCACATTGTGCAGAAAGATGGGGTGAGGGAAACCTGAACACATTATGTTGGGTCATTCATTCATCACGTGCTCCTACTACTCAGTTCACGGCGATATCTTCGCTACACACCTGAGCTACAGTCTCAGTCTCGGCCCCTTCTCGAAGTAAAACAGCTGAACAACGAAATTTTCACATAGAAAAGTATAGGAACGGATAAATTCAAAATTCAGTCAGCTTTATGTTTCAACTATTATATATGAAAGTTCCAACTAAGCTTCAGTGTCAAACATTTCCAAGTCGTGATTTTGAATTGTTACATCTGCTTCGGTGAAATCTGTCAATATAAAAATTTAGAAACTGCTGGTCGCTGCCTCAAGCAGCGATCCGTACTCTGTAATCATTGTGGATCCCAATACAGGTGTTGCTTCGTGGAGTTACAAAGGATCAGATCTGCAAGGAGCTGCTGTTGGATTCGTCGCCACTCTCGGTGATTAATCATCAATCATTTTTTCTGCGATTTCCAACCTTAGACATCTTTTTTAAGGGACAAGTGGTGACCACCTCCTAATTTCCGTCAGAGATCGCCCTCTAGTGCATGCTCTCGCTGTGCATCCACGAGATCGCTATTTCCATAAGGCCGTGGTGGGAGGGCCGATTGCTGCCCTTTGCACCTTTAAGGATGGATCTATGCTCTTCGTAGCTATTGGAACTCAAATTTTTGTGTGGTCGGTGAGTTTCAAATCGTTTTTCTTCTCTTATCATTTAGTGAGGAGCGGCAGTAGAATTGCATATGTTGTTGCCTCTGTATTAGGGGGCTATATTCCCTTTCCCTCAAAATGTTTTACGTTGTTTGGTCGGTATACAATGACACGCCGCCCACACGTATTATCGCTTTCGGTGCGTCGTATCTTGCATGAGGCTTTATTTGCAAAATCGTTTTCCAGACAACTTGCGGAATACGAGGAAATTTTGCAAGTAGTGGAAATCAGGTTCTCTTCGTATCAAAAGTGTTATCACTATGTTCAGTTGAAAAATGGAGAACTTCATGCCGTCCTGGATGCCCATTACCAGTCAATCACACGACTATCGCTAACTTCCGATGAATCCATTTTAATTACGGCGTCAGCTGATGGAACCGTCGTCTGCTATCTGATTTCCGAGTAAGTTTTACAAGAGTTTTTTCATGGTGTTGTATCTCATTGCCAGTCCCGAATATGTATGTACAGGGTGTGTCATATATATGACAACAAAGTAACTGTTGAACAGAAATCGTATTTCATTTCAATACATGACGATTTCATGTGAACCATTTGCTATGCATCGCATCGACAAAACGATCGTTCGGTAATCTGACATAAACGTCTCCTCTACAAATAATAGCTCGCACACGCTCGGGGTGCACGGGACGACACGTTTTATTTTTTCAAAGGAATTCTGGGGCGGGCTTGATCTAATGATTTATTAGGATAGGCAACCTTGGTGTGTTTTGGAACGCAGGCTTCCCTTTATGGAATGAGCCATTCAAATTAATCCATCGGGTTGCGTTCGAGAGATTCGTGCAGGCCTATTGGAAGAAGGATAAAAACAGGAACATTTGCTCAGCAGCAATCTTGAGTTTTCTTCGATTCAAGGCAGCGGGTACTCAGTCTTGTAGAGTCTGGATCGAGAAGACCGAACGTGGAACTTTTTTGAAAAGTGTACCGCAGGCTTCACCCTCTCAGTTGTGATGGCTTGTGTACGTTCTTCTTAATGCTTATTGATTCTATTTCCTTCGTAGTACCTATCCAGTCGCGACCATCCTTGCTGTGAATTCTCATGACAGTTTAGGTTCGCTGGCTTAGCATGTACTAGTTAACACATTAGAAAATTGCAAATGTGAATGCATGAACCTTGAATTTGATTGCAATGCTCACGAAATGGAGTTTAAAAATACAATAACGTCGGCAAAATCTACGAGAGAGAATGGGAAAAACTCACTTTGTCGCAGTGGGACGAATTTGGCCGCTATGTATACGAACTGAAGTGGAATATCCTATGGATTTCCACTCTCTTATGACAAAGTCTGAACGCATTTTGAGTGCTCCAGCTCGACTTTATGTTGCAAATAATCCTAATGACAATCGATTTTTTTCAGAAACATTTTTCAGAGGTCTGAGCTGCTTTCTTCTATGACCAGTTGGGCTACGCACGCTAACGCGTGCCCACTACCAATTACCTGAGACTTATTAGACTACCAGTATAAACAGTATCGGTTGACTTCCCATTTTATAATTGTTTCCTAATCGCGCTCACGTGGCATTCACACTCTTAACCGTGCCTGAGTGATTTTCGCACAGTTGGACACACAAACAGACACACAGAGATACTTATATATAGAGAAATTTTCTTTTCGGGAGGGATTAAAAGAAAGGGGGAAATGAGCATAACAGCGACATACAAAACAACGAGTTTTTTCGCCGTAATTAAATGTGGAAAGTTGATATTCTTATCAAAAAAATTGATATTATTTATTTAAAAAATGATATTATTCGTTAATTCTTAGTATGTTACAGCATTATATCTCATAGCCGTGATCACAGTGTCTTACCGCTCCGTAAATGGAAAGCTCATTCGCTAGCCGTCCGCGATTTAACAGTAGGCGGAGGAGCGAATCCTCGCGTGGTTACCTGCGGGTTAGATCACATCGCTGTTATTCACTCAGCTTCTCTTGATGAAGTCTTATTGAGGGTATGTTTTTTCTGGTTTTCTGATAAACTCCTCCTTGTTAGGTGGTAGAAATTGAGATTGAGAGCCCTCTATTTTATCTTCAGATATCATCAGATCGACCATTAACTGCTTGCGAGTTGGACCCTGCTGAAACGCGATTGTTTCTCGGGTCAGACACTGGAAACATTGTGCAGATCAACCTTTATGATTTGGTTGGTGGGGTTCATGTTTATTCTTCTGATTTCCAATAACTAATTGACTTGTCCAAAAATAGTGTATCGGAATTCAGAAGTGAGTCTTCTCGCTGAAGGCATAGTTTAGGTGTGCTATCAGGTTGACTACATGTACATAAGTTTAGTAAAAGTATGTGGTGAGAAATTCACTGAAGGTGATTAGTTCCTTTACCGAAGAGGCTCGAATTCCCTCTATTCTCAAGTGGTTTATTTACTATGGAACTTTGAATGGAGACCCAGATAAATCGATAAAGCATTGGATGCTGTATAAGAATTTGGTTATTAAACTGCAAAATGGCTCTCCCATAAACGTTATGGGGGCTCAAGTTGGCTTGGCAGTGGTCTATATTGGAAGTGCAAACTCGTCGCTTCTATGGCAAGCGTCGACATGGAGTCTTGGTAGTGGTCACGCTTTACACGCGAAAAATGCGCGTGTACTCCATCCTCCAGACTTCTGCTCAGTGTACTTTCTCCCCACGAGAGGTTTCCGAAACCTTTTCTGACTTCTGTTTGGGTGGATGCTTTATTACTGCTTTCATTTGCACGTGTAGCACCTGTTCAAGGAATTATGGCTCCGCACGTTGATTGTGTGACTACGTTTTCTTTAAGACTTTCAAATATTTGATAGTAATAGAATGCCAGAGATGTATAAGATGTCTATGAAGAACTCAACATTGATGGAGAACCCACAAAATGTCTGAAGCACACAAGTTTTTCACAAACTGCTAACCTTATACATACTGGTTCTCTAGAACCGGAGACGAAACAGTCGTTCGTATTGAGATTGAACAAATTCTGTCAGGAGTGACACAGAAGCCTGGGTTTCCATCAGCATATTCTGTCCTGTACCAAGAGCATTTTGAAAAATCCGAAAAGCGAGATCCACAAAATATTCGATATACTTGTGTGAAAACCTGAGTATATTGACTCTCTATCATATTAAATTCCGTGTTGTTCATAATGGTTCTGGTTCTGGTCAAAGTCCCATGGTAAGCTAACTACCTCTCCTTGTTTCGTAACATTACCCGAGTTTTGAACGCTGGCAAACATGTGTGTTCTTGACCCTTAGCGAATTTCTGATCTGTTCTGATGAATATGCTTGTTGGAACATTTTTGATTTGCGAGTAACGAAATTTTCTTGTACTGGGTGTCGTTGTCATGTAACGCATATCCAAGAAGTGTGTGCATAAAGCATCCAGATTTTCAATTCTCTATCTTGCTATTCTTGAATTTCAATTCTAAAACTAGTTGCTTGATGCCCACATATGTTCAAAGTTTAAAACAAGGGAGGTGATGCAGTCGAGATAGGGGAGTCGCTATCACCTACTCCATCCTTATTGCTTCGTAGATGAAATCCTAAATCTATTCAAATGGTAGTCTTACATTTTCCATTTAAAGGGTGAAAAGGACGGAAGCATTGAGCCATTCTCAAGGTATGGTTGGGATTACATGTATGCTTTTATAAGATATATTATTAAAGTCATTTTATGTTCAAAGGTGAGAAATGTTCGAATAGTTATAATTAATGTAAACATAACAACCTTAATTATCTAAAAGGCGCTGCTCTTACCAACATGATCATTTACTTGTTCAGGACGGTTCAATGGATTTGTTAGTACAAGTCGCAGATGAAACAAATTCACACGTTCCTGTATTCAGTGGTCACTCCAGTGAAATCACCACTTTGGCTGTAAATGCTGACGGATCGTTGTTGGCTTCAGGTGATTCATCGGCCAGGTATTGCATTTGGGAAATCAGTAGCAGACAGTGTCTAAAGGTAGGGCGATTTCAGTGGTCATGGTCTCTAGAGGGAAATTACTTCACTCAAATTTTCAGGTGTCTTCCATGACCGGCCCACTTTCATCATTGCAGTTTGTAGCTGACTGGCCGAGCATTTATGCAGCAGAGCATATTTCTGCTCATCCAGGCTTTGAGTTACAACGTAATCTAACTAAAGATGAAAAAATTTCCATGTCGGTTCACAGCAGTGGTGACCCAAACAAGGTGAGTTCTAAAGTCAACCTTTTTGACATCTAATTTTCAAGTGTAAGACGCGCTCTGTTCTCGATTCATTGTCATATGTCTTTACCCTCATGACCATTTTGCTTATTCCGATTTTTCGACGTCGACTGTGGCCATCAATATAAATGGCGCGGCTAGTGCCGGGTTGGCAGTATTTTAAAACGATTGGAATACCTGTTTTACCGCGTTGTTTTGCGTGGACGGTGTTTGCAGCCTTTGTACTGATTGCTTGATAGTCTTCTCTCGATGGTACTTTGCTTTTAATAGAACGGAACACTAGCTAATGTGGACGGCAATGATTTTAATTCTGTGGTACGTGATCAATGATCGTATGACTCAGTAAATTCAATGCTTTTAAGCAAGTTTGTTTTCTTCATTCTGAGTTTGTTTCCTTCATTCTGGGTGTGAAGGGGGCCAAACGCAGCATGAGCCATCGACTCCATCGAAGGCCGGCCCAGCTACATATACAAGGTGCGCCATAAATATGGTAACAACTTTGCAGACGTCCGTAATTACCTTGTTCGGAAAGTTCCTTCGAATCTGCACCGTCCCTTATGTTTATGTATACCTCAGCCCATATATCTACCTTGGTGCTCTGATTCGTCAGATTTTGAAAAGCGGTGAAGCCTTGCAGGCATCCACCATCCGTTCCGTCTTTGCGCACATTTGGTGAGGCCTTTCCGGGATCGCTCTTCGTTTCGAAATTTCCCGTATGACAGTCTCTTGAATCGCGATATGTAGACAGGTCAACGACAAACCTCAAAACAGTTGCCCTGCCTCACATACGATCGCTTCTCCGAATACAATTGCTTGTGGAGGAATGCGCTACGGAACCTGCAGAAACACGGGAAAATGACTGCTGATTTGATTGTGTGTTCTACTTCAAGTAGGAAGAGTCTACCATGAGTAAATACAATTGCATTCAGATCGAGTAAAGCCTCATAAGTTTTTTGACAAGAAGAATTTGGGGAAACGAAGCAAATGCCGTGCGCTACCTGCGCGCAGCACGCGCATCGACACACTTTTTCTGACTAAAGAGTGTTCCGCATGGAGGAGATGTCGAGATCCCAAAGTGTCGTATATTTCACGCTACGAGTGCCGAAGCCACTGACAAGAGTCAGATCGCCTCTCGTACCCATTTTACCTCTTTTATGATGGTTTGGACTGGAATCCCTACCATAAGCGATATCGCAAATTTCGGTTCGAGAAAAGTATGAAATCTAATCTGAACCCTTTCACGGTTTTTTCTGTAAGGATGCAGCTGAGGGCCGAAGTTTCTGTGAAACTCAGAAAACCTAAGCAAAGATGGAGCATATCTGATCATTTGATGGACCATTATCTTTATAGCTTTGTTACTGTTCGATCTGTAATATAAACACAAAAAACATTCTAATAAGTCACGCATGCGCTTAAAAAAGTTGGGAAATGAGCGCGGGACACATATGTCCCGCGCTGTCCTACGTGGCCTGCAAAACGCGGGACATATGTGTCCCGCGTTGTCGTCAATGTGTTAACTCACATGGGAACACCTTGTGTCAAAATGATCTGCAGTTTCTGTAGCCTAATCTTTTTGTTACCGTATTTATAGCGCACCCTGTACTTGCAAGTTCTCCTTTCAGTACTTGTTTCGCGAATATTAGATTTTCGTCCTTTCACAGCTTCCGTCCTGATATCTAAATTTTTTATACTTCCCTTATCGCTAAACTGCTGCGACAGGGCTTCGGCCTACAGTTTCCCGTCCAATTTCAGAATTTCCTTTCCCCTCATTCCATGTCTACGTACAGTTCTCGTGTACAAACTACAGGTTCTGATTGTTTGTGCTTGACTCAATCTTGTTTTGGTTAATGGACAGGCATCTATGACAAGAGGCGAGGAGATAGCGCATCCCATGTACCTGGTTTTTTTTTCGCAGACATGAACAAAAACGCAATAGTGCGTAGGAACGCCCTAGGCTACGTCAGGACCGTTTGCAAAATGTTAAAAGACGGCTCCTCTATGTGATGAGGTTGAGACAAATCAGCTGAGAGAAGTGGTCCTGTAACGATTTCATGTAAACGGTCCTGATGCAAATCAAAACGTCTTTACGCAGGTATATGTGCAGAAAAAACACTAGTCTTGGTGAAACGCAGGTACTATAAATGCGTCAAAATAGGTGTATGTGAAAGCCAGTTATGGCAGGTATCTAACAAGGAAGGTCTTTCAGGGCTTGGGACGCTTTTCGAAAATGGTTTTTTGCATGGTATAGGGACTTGATCACTGAGTATAGAACTATGATCCATTTCCGCTAAATGGCTTTCTGAATGCCAAAAAAGGAGTGAAAATAATCTTGTCAGAAATGGCCGTTTTAACCCACTACGCTTCGTTTGTTTCATTCATGGCGTCGACTGTCCGCACAGTGGAGGGGGCCAGTGGAGGGGACATCGAAAATAACGTGAACGGTAGCCAAAAAAGGGACCCACATGTTGAAAAGTGCGGGAAGTTTCATATAGGCTCTCCACGGCTGAGCTGCTAGCAGCGTCGGATGGCATTGTGGATAGTGATGTGGACTTGGAGTTGGGACGTCTGGGCTGGGTTGGTAGTTCGGATTCTCGGGGCTTTGCCGTTTTGCATTTTATGCTGCCACCTCCAGATTGGCTTCATTTTGTACCAGGGCCGAAGCAAGTGTCCAATTGGTCATGGTCGTGACCAGGACTAGCCAGGCACATGGAGGGGCTTCCAGGCTTCACACTCCCAGGAACCCCCCTTCCCCCCCCCNCCCCCCCCCCCCCCCCCCCCCCCCCGTTCATTCAGTTGGTAAACTGTTGGTATGATATCATTTTGGTAATCAAAAAACTCGATATCACATCATCTGGTCTTCGAACATTGTTTGCACATTGCACAGTCCATACAATTCCTTGAATGATTTGGACAATCATGGTATGATTGTTGTTTCATTTCGATCAAGTTCCTTCAAAACTGATGGAAGGCGCATTTATAATAATTTCGACGATTTCACCGTTTTTTACCCTAGCGTGGATTTCGCGCCGTTGAAGTGTTTTTGTCCACTGGTTGGTCATCTCTTTCCTTCTCTCCTCACGATCAGTCACTCATCTTCTGCAGCTCGACTTCAGCAATGTCCTTCTTGATCGTGTCCTTCCAGCCCTTCATACCAGGATGCGGGGTTAGGGGATCGTATGTTGGGAACGTGTATCGCCTAAACCCTTCATCTAATCATTAATCTGGTAATCTGGCGCTTGAATGATTTTCTTCACGGTGACAGCTTTTTACATCAAGCCCAATGCTCATGGTTTATACAGCAAGAAGACGAGTTTAAAGAGAATCTGATTCGTTTTCCCCAAGAAATCCGCGGTCGACGCCCAGTTGACGCCAGGGAATCGGGAGCTACAATTAATATGGCAATCTAGTTATCTTTGCATTGACGAAGGAGCTCTAGGACAGCTTCCATCAAATAGGAACCATACTATGGGGTTTCGACCCCCATCACAACACTTATATAGTGTGAAATGAAGAGACCGCTTTATACTCCAGGGAGTGTGAAGCCTGGAAGTCCTCCATTGATAGTGCTCCACACATCAAATTCTAACGACTTGTAGAGGTTATCGGTGGTCCTGGTCACGACCATGACCAGTCGAGCACTTGCTTTGCCCCTGGTGCAATATGGAGTCAATCTGGAGGTGTCAGCATAAAATGCAAAAACTGCAAATCCCGGAAAATCCGAATCAACAACCCAGCCTAGCCGTCCCAACTCGAAATCCACATCGCTATCCACCATACCATCCGACGCTGCTAGCATCTCACCCGTGGAGAGCCTTCCCCGCGCTTTTCAATATGTGGGTCCCTTTTTTGGCTACCGTTCACGTTATTTTCAATGTCCCCTCCACTGTCCCCTTCTACTGTGCGGACAGTCGACGCCATGAATGGAACAAACGACGCGTAGTGGGTTAAAACAGCCATTTTTGACAAAATCATTTTCAGCCTTTTTTTGGCATTCAGAAGGCCATTTAGCGGAAATGAACCATAGTGCTATACTCAGTGCCCAAGCCCCTATACCATGCAAAAAACCATTTTCGAAAAGCGTCCCACGCCCTGAAAGACCTTCCTTGTAAGAAGCATTATCTGATGAGTTTGTAAGTTCAAGCTCCTTCTCACGGCCAATTAATTAATCTTACACTCTATTTGTTGAATAGAGCTCAGTAATGTGAATCAGGTGAAGGAAACAAAGGCGGTGAACTTCCTTCCTTTCATACTTTTTTGTTAGTAATAGGTTGATGCATCGTTCTTGCGGATTTTTTCGCTGCTTCTTTTCTCTCGATACAATTTGAAGATTCAATTCGGGGTTCAAAAGAAATAATCTTCTTGCTTTCCTTAACAAAAATATGCCTAGAAGGTCATCTTCATATAATCCACATTATGCCCTATTACTTCGAGGAAAGTTGGAAGGTGGCACATTCCTAAAGTGATCTCATCGAACTTCTCGGCGATAGAACAGCCAGCCAAAGTCGAATAAGGAAAGGGACCTGCTGTTACGTCACCCTATCCTCCAACAGAAACTCCGAGGAGCATCACTTCAATCGCCCGTTGAAAATTTGGCTAACGAGCAAAACTTTCGACGAAATGGGTGACTTGATGGTCAACGTCAAGGCGTGGATCGCCTCTAGGAATCGAAACATCTTCGAATCCGTCTGCCTAGCAAATGGAAAGCAGTGCTTGACGTAGATGGTGGATATGTTCCGGGGTAATTATTTGAAAATGTCTTTGGTAGATATTTCTTTTCTTTCTTTAAGTAAAATTTGCTGGAAAAAAATCCGCAAAAATTATGCATCAACCTAGTAATTTGTACATCTTTGATTTTGTTAGTAAATTTTACGATCTTTGACATAGACAGAGATCGTAAAAGAAGACCGACAGGGACCTTGTTGATGAGCACTTATCACTGGGTCAGTTTCAATGCACTGCTTGTAGTTGAGAATGACACAGGATAATAAGGAAATACATAAAGTTCTGGACTATTTATC